TATACTAAATGAATTAAGACCATTAACATAATGATGTATTTTATTAAAAAGTATAAATGAAAATAACTTTTATTTATTAAAATTAAACAATTACTTGTTGAGAAAACCTTGAAATGATTGCTTTGAATAAAAAAAAAACACTTATTTTGGTAGAAAATGTATATTTATGGAGAAATTATAGGAAAATATATTCAATTCATTGAAATTATTAATTGAATTATTTGTCTTATTGAAAAGATAAATACAAAAACTTATTTTAATTTATTAAAAATTTAAAAGATTTTGTTTAAAAATCACTAATTTTGGTTGAAAATGTACTTCTTATGGACCTTTTTAAAATGTATAAATAAAATTATTATTATTTTACTAAAAAGTAAATACGTGTTTGTTGAAAAACCCTAAAAGGGTTTTTTACAAAAAAACGTATATTTTGATTAAAAAAGTACCTTTTAAAATAGTATTTAAAATTTTATATGGTTGAAGAAAAAAATGTTTTCATTCCCGAAAAGAAAAAAACTATTAGAATGATTTTAGAACTTCTTAAAGACCTACAATTTAAATGTTATAATAGATATCATTAACATTAACATGCCCTGGACGCCATTACTACTCAAAGTCAGATATCCGAGTAATGCAGATTGGAGAAAAAGAGGGCTACAGCGTGGGCGAGCGCTCAAATACTTCAAATATGTAGATAAATAAGATGAAAGACGCCAAATTGTCATCTTCACAGTAAAAAAAGGGGGGACTTCAAATCACCTCTCTTCATCAAAAAATAAAGACAAATTATGGAGTATAAGCGATCAAGGGAAGATGAAGAACAGATGCTATTATATTGTTTCTTTCTGCAGAGCATGTAATGTGTAGCTAGCTGAATGGCTATGGTTGCAATAAGGGAAGCCATAAAAGAAAAATAAAAAATCAAGCTCGTTTACTTGGGAAACTGCTTTAAGAAAAAATGGGCGTAGAGGTTGAATGGCATAATAAATATGAAAAGAGCAGGTCTTGAAACTAAAACGATAACTAAAGCCAGGAAGACAGAGACGTCGATTATTATTATTCAATCACAATCAGCTGTCTAGGCGATCCAATTCATTGACAATTAAGCTTTCAGCTTAACACGCAATTGTTGATAGGCTTGATAAATCAGGGAAACACATGGCGATGAAGTTTGCCCGGTAGAAAAGCTATAAAGCACACAGCAGCAATTTTACGAATGGTTGGCAGAAAAGCTATAGAGTACCGAAACAAACATAGGGTACTGGCAGCAGGCAGGAGCATGGTTAATCCGAACACTAGCCTGTTTTTTGTTTTTCAGAATTAAGCCATAACATATACATCTGTTTTCTACGATCATATAACAATTTCCTGAACTCTACTCTACCTCACTAAAGCTCGGTGTTAACATATGAGTACTGGGCAGAGAGTCTGTGACATGTAACTAATGCAACTATACAAAGAAACAGTCCAACATATAAGCTGAGCTATTTTCTCTGCCGACCGTTTCGACATCATAACTTCTGTCAATTTCTTTCTTTTCTTCCTGTAATTTTATTTTTCTTGTAATCAATGTCATTCTACAAGCTTTTTTCCACTGTGTCAGATATTAGCAATTCTGTTGAAGAATCTGATTGAGGTTCTTTGGAAATAGATTGAGGAAACGATAAGGCATTGGGAGGTAATTGCAGATCATCGACATTGGCTTCAAGCATTTCCACAACTTTGGTCATTGATGGACGATCTGATGCTGCCTTTTGGATGCACCACAACCCAACCAGACACAGCTTTCTTGGTATAGCAGCCTCAATTTCAGTAACATTTTCAAGCTGTAAATCTGCCCTCTCAATCAGATGGTCATAAACCCATGACAGGAAATATACTTCACTCGAACAATTTCCCTTTGAACTAGAGTTCCTTCTTCTTCCAGCCATTTCCAATAATAACATCCCAAAACTATAAACATCTGATTTGCAAGAAACAGCTCCAAGGTTCCTGGAAATCATTTCAGGAGCGATGTACCCTATAGTTCCTCTGGTAGTACTAACGGACACAAAATCCTTTTCCTTGGGATAAAATTTTGAGAGGCCAAAATCTGAAACTTTTGGGATGAAATTATTATCTAGCAGGACATTCTGAGGCTTAATATCTGAATGAAGAATACATATATTGCATCCCCCATGAAGATGCTCGATCCCTCTAGCTGTCCCTAAGGCTATTTGAAGGAGTTTCTCCCAGCTAACTAGATGACGTTCTGCTTCACTTGAAAATAAAAGCTTATCAAGAGATCCATTAGCCATGTATTCAAAGATAAGAGCTCGGTGACACCCCTCAGAACAAAATCCCATCAGCCATACTATATTGACTTGATGAATTCTACCAATTATGGAGACTTCATTAATGAAGTCTTCATCGTTGCATTTGGGATTGTCAAGCATTTTAACAGCAACTGAAAACCCATCACGAAGTTGTCCTTTATATACAGTCCCAAATCCACCTTGGCCTAATTTATTTTCAAAGTTGTTTGTAATTGCAATAATGTCAGAGTAAGAGTACCTCCTTGGCATCGAGTGTTGCTGACGGTGCAGAAATCTCTGCTCGTTGTCAATCGCCTTCTTTGTTTTCATATACTTGTGAATAAGGAATCCAAATATACCTATCGGAGCGAGGATGAATCTTCCAACTAGATATATTGCTGGAATCAAATTGAATTTTTTTAATTTTGAGAGAACCAATACAACAATAAGCTCATAGAGTATTAGGAGTTCCAATGAGAAAGATATACCTGACAAAACGTTCCAAGTCATCGAGAAAGCTGCAAACCAAGGGGGGAGATAATTACCTGCACAGGCACATAAGCAATGAAAAGTTAAGCATTTTCCAACATCATTGAATAAATGATCAGCAAGAATCTTCAAAACAAAATAATGTTAATTAAAGCAGATAAAGAAAGAAGAGAAGATTGTCAGGATTTGACTGACCTGATTTGTAACAATCATAGCTAAATGATGAATCCCAGCACTCAATAGACCATTCAAGATCAAACCCTGCTTGCATCAATTGCAAGATACTGTCAAAGGAAGGAAACAAGACAGTCTGATAAACTGTAGGAACTCTTGAAATGAACGAGCAAGGTCCTCGGAGATTAGAGATTATGTAGTTATCATAACTAACATAAAAACTAGACCCGTTTCCACTCAAACAAGGAAGTAGTCTATAAGCTTGATCACTCAAATTACTTGAACACTTGATAAAACTTGTATAAGTGGTAGAGACTAATCTATAGTGATGATCATCTATAACCTCATCAACCGACACTGATTTGTAAGGAAGGATGCAGCTACCACTAGCTAAGTTAAAATCAACAACGCGGAGTCTGTTATCATCGTAGGAAATTTGCTTAACATAATACTTCCCTGAGTGGAATTCTAATATGGTCTTGTTGTTCTCGCAAGAAAGTTGAAAAACTGTTTCACCACAGCCAGGTGGATCGGTCTTTAGGCGAAAGGGGTAGTCGATGATTTCGATGTCTCCACATGAAGAACGGGAGCAACCGTGTGGGATGAATCTTGCTTCAACTTCAGTTGAGAGTATAAAGATTAGCACAGAAAACAGGGTAGTTGAGGGTACCGGTGACTCCTGCCTTCTGATCATGGTTTCTTTTTCTACGGGAAAGACGTAGATCTTGATAATAAATTGAGAGAGAGGACGGGGCTAGGATATGATAGCACTTTTGCAGCAATTTTTTTTTGTTTTGAGAAATCAGCAAGGAACTTGACTGGTTACGTTTATCAAGGGGTCATCGATTCAATTCAATAGTCAATGGCTAAATGATGCACAATGATCCGCACGTCGAAAGTGAATTTTACTTCACGTAAACCAATAGAGTTTAAATTAGATTAGTGACATGCACTGTAGATAAAATAATTATTTTTTAAATTTAAAAAATAAAAAACCCTTGCGTACACTAAATAAATTATTTTTAAAATATTAAAATTTTTATGAATAATCTTTTAAAAAATATCAAGGTAATGATATGTTGGTTTAACCAGCACTAATCATGGTTAATTCATAAACCAAGTGATTGAGAATACTTTTATTATTCGTACGAGAATTTTATTGCCATATCTGTAATTGCAAAGAATAAGCAACAGGCCATAAAATAGGAACAAGAGGACTGAAGTAAAAAAAAAAAAGTGAGACATGGGTTATTTTTTTCTTTTTCTTTCGAATTTCAGCTAGAACCCAATTCGGATTCTTTACAGATTATTAGATTCGTGGATCAATGAATCAAAAGAAAAGGAAATTAAGATGCGGGGAGCATTTCGTGCTGGTTTCTACTTTTCTACTGCCTAGCTTTATGTTGGGCAAGTGGACTATGGATATAGATAGTGTTGTACATTAATCTTTCAATTGTTTTATGAAGTATTTTTTTTTTAATTTGAAAATATATTATAATAATATTTTTTAAAATTTATTTTTTAACTCATTATATAAAAAAAATAAAATAATAAAAAAATGATTTTAAAAATGATTTTTTTAGAAAACAAGGCCACACCGAGTAATCATAGATTATAGGGAGGAAACTGGATTTCCCTCTTCTGTTCTATTAGTATATATCCGTACTGCAATGGATTGGAGGGTAGAAGTGAGTGCATTTATCTTTCCTTGGTCTAATCACGATGGACGAAGCCTTCTTTCCACTGCGTCCCTATCACCCCTCGATCAAGATCTCAAACTTTGTTTCATTTGTAAATAGACCAAGCCCACTCCAACCTCTCTGTACTGATTAGAACCTTGCAACTGGGTTCCTCGTATCAAGTATATTTATAAAACCAACAGTTTGGTTCCATGTATATTCAATCACATCCTTCACTTGGATCCTTCTATTTTCAGATTTCTTTGCACTGTTATTTTATATATATATATATATATATATGAATATTTTCTTTCTGACATATTTTATATGAAGCAATACATTCCATTTATGTGTAACACGCTTGCTACTGTGGTGTGAGGACGAACATTTTGCATGCGTGGGATTCAACAGTTACTGTAAGTTGATGCCGGACTGAAGTCATTGTTGAATGCTGCAAATTGAAGTTCCCTGGTATTAGTTTTCTTTTTGCCAACAAAAATCAATGAAAATGTGAGAAAGGGATTCTTAGAGTCATGCCGCCCAGAGGTCTCGAGTATTGACTACTGCTGATGATTTGAGTCCAATGTCCTTGAAATCTGCAGTTATAGAAGCCCTTGATGATCCTCTGTTCCACAAGACCGCTGCTATCCTCTTCCCACTTAAAGGACCAGCCCATACCTGCACAGACATCCCCGTATTAGGAGTATTTAAGATGATACTAGGGGTGTTTAGTGGGGCGTTATATTTTATTCTTGTAAGCTCTCAGCTTGTTTTCTTTCCTTTCAGGGGGTTAATTATTAAAGGGATACCAAGGGTCCATTTGAAAAGGTTATTACTTTTGAAAAGCTATAAAATATAGTTTTTAAAAATAATATATGAAAATCGCAGTGTATGAATCATAAAGCACTACCTCCAAATCTCCAGTTTTCTTTACTTTCTTTCCTTGGAGTCCAAGCTTATCTGTCAGTGGAAGAATAGCAGTGGAGCAAAAGCTCATACACTTGATTAATAAATGGAATGGATTTGAATAGAGAAACAACCAAAACCTACCCTGATTAACTGCAATAACCTCTTTATTGCTTAGCAACTCAAACGTGTCGTTGTCCATGGAGCGGATATCGCACCCAAGAAGAAGGGGGGCCTAATTATTCACCATTAAGAATCTATTAACTGCTCGGCTACAGAAACAATGACACTAACAATCATTTTTCTTTTCTTTCCCAATACCTTCATCAAAGCCCAAATACTAAAGTGAGAGCGGTATTCTTCGGTTGACATGCCCCCATTGCCCACCTCAAGCATGTCTGGGTCTAAAGCTCAGTCACAAATAAGAAAACAAAATGTTTGGTGCCATAACTTGTCAAGAAAAAAAGCAATTTGGTTGTTGACTGATAGTAAGAGAGCAACAAGCCTCACCATTCCATCCACCAGGTCCAGCATAAGATGCCCAATCATTATTTTGATCAGCACGGGATGTCATGCTGTCAAAAGAGTGGCCATTTTATAATTTCTACCTAAAATTCACCAAATCTATCTCCCTCGCAGGGATATTATGAATGCTCATTTCCACTTTGGATCTCATATATAAGATGCTCTCCTTACCTATCCCACGTATCTTTGATGTCTCCAGTCGTCCTCCAACTATTTCCAATTCCAGCTGCCCAGGTTGCTGGATTGTCCTGACCCCTGCATACCAATGTATTATGGTTCCGTTGTTAAAAGGGAGAGTATGGAGATTTCTCAGGGAAATGAACACGGCACAGGTTGCAAGGAACAGTAATATACCATTCACAAAGAGAGAAGAAGATAGGTCGGCCTGTGCTTAATAGTGCCTTGCTCATCTTTGAATACCTGTCATCAAGAAGTGAATAGGTAGGGACCACTTATTTTAATTTTGTAAGATCATTTTTTCCATCAGATTTCAGAACTTGTACCACGTACCTTTCTTGCGGGCTCACCCCATTATTATGACAATTATCATATTTCAGATAATCAATTCCCTTGAGAAAATAGCCACAAAAAAATATACAGTCATGGCGATATATTTATGAGGTTTAACGGACGCACACTAGGCAGAAGCTAAAGTCTTTTAAGTTTCCTGAAGGAAAAGGTTTTGTATCGTGAAGAAGAAAACGACTGAAGGAAAAAAAAATTACCCATGAAGCGAAAGTTTTCGCATCCTGTTCCTCATAACCAAGTGACCCTGGCATTGTCTTGGCACAAGTCAGGGTCCTGCAAAAATAAACATTTCTTCAGTGCGCTATAAACATCATAGGCTAACCACTTTTCTAATCATTAATTTCACAACATTTATTGCTGTGTTCTGTCATCCTCTCATGATTCGAAGTCTTAAATGCGAGGATATGGCTTCAAACTTGGGACAGCTCCTATCTTTCCTAATGGAAGAAAGTTAAGATATCCTAGTGACTTGGGGCAGATCAGCAGATCTGTATATATAGGTCTTTAGAGAAGCACTGGTTTTACATTAAGCGGTAAACTAGACGAACTGATTCAGTATGTCAAATAATAATTTCCATTGTAGCCGTTGGACCCATCAATGTTTGACCTGCTTGTTTTAGCACAAGTATCAGGTCAGCACAAAGTATGGCCTTACTGCACAGTGCACAACCGTGATTTCTTGACCAAACTTCAGAAAATGTGAAAGAAGGGAAAAAATATCACGAGTACCCAGCATCGCCATAAATTCCGATCTTTAGCCCTTTGCCGTGGACATAATCTGCTAGAGCCTTCATACCAGACGGAAAAATAGTCTTCTTTGGCACTAAGTTCCCCTGCACATAATAGGTGCAGATAAATATTTTCAAATTCTTATAACAAAATATAAAGACATTATTTCACTGAAGACTTATATTCTCTGATGCTTTATGAAAAAAAAAACTTCACAAGCAACAGAGAGGCCCTCCATGGACAAATTTGTGCTGCCGCACTAAGAACTTATTAAGAAGGATACTGGCAAAAGGGATTGTGTTTATATTGTAATCCCACAAAACGCAAAGGTTTATCAGCAAGTACGTCGTCGAATATAAACAACCAAACCACTCAGCAAAATAACAAATGCGGAAAAAATAATTCAGTAAGAAATGTAAACAATAGCAAGCGACTTGAAATATTTTCCTAAAAATGTTGTACCTTGGAATCTCTTTTCAGTTCTGCCCAACAATCATCTGCCGAAATCGAAATTTCAAAGGACAAGAACATATTAGTTCACCAATTAATAAGAGAAAATCAGTAGCTGTCTAATGCTTTCAGCCTCTAAGTTGAAAGGAAGATTTTTAACCTAGATTAATATACTTGTATCCAAGAGCTGCTATTCCACTCGAAACCATTGCATCAGCTGTACGAAAAGAAGGCAAAATTCAGCCAGAATCACCAATGACAACTTACGTTATACCAAGACCAAAACTTAAAAGCAAGTATTTCATGACCAAAAGAAAAATAAAAACATAGTGTGCTGTAAGACATCACGATTGTACCTGTCTCACGAATCAGTTCTTCGTTAAGCTTGCAGGGAAAGTGATTGTAACTGTTCCATCTGCACCAACCTTAATTCATTAGATACAACACAAAGTTTGTTCAGGAAAATATTGGCTCAGAAAAATGGAAGTCAGGTTCCATCTAAGTGGACTCTTTGATTGAATCCTCTACGTGTCCAAGGTAAAACTAGATAAATGGTCAGCATAGCGCTGCAGGATGAGTAAATTTTTTGTCAACATAAAACAATATTTATGTTATATCAATGTTTTAAAATAAGTAAAAAAAATCTAAGATTTTGATAATTAAAAGAGATCATGCGTGTTGTGTTAAGTCGAGGAAAAAAAAATTAGAAATCATAAAAATAAGAATTGAATCTAAAACATCAAGACGTAATAAAAAAAAATCAAACATGCATAATTTTTCAATATGTTTTCTTATATAAAAAAATCTTAGATGTAAATTAAAAAAATTATGCATGTATCTAACTAAACAAATCAATAATTATCATGTAAATAAATTAAAAAAAAATCATTAACAATAAACAAAAATAAAATTGAAAAAAACTAAGAGATAAATATAGATCAAGATATTTAACATTGTAGCAAATAATTTATCCGATTATGTTTAATGAATTTATTAATTAAAATAAATTTGTAATAGAAACCAACACACAATAAAATTTATTGAATACAATAAAAGAAAAATAATATCATGCAAGATTGCACAAATTAAAGATTTTATGAAAAAATCTATATTTTTTAAAAAACAAATTTAATCTATATAAAAAATAAAAAAAATCACAGGGAATCATACCATCATCTTTAAAAATCAAACACACCTAATCATTAAAAAATAACCACAATCTAAAAAATGCTAAATAAAAAAAATAACACATAAGAGGTATTAATTAAAACATAAATAAAAGAATTATTTAAAAAAATACATAGAAAATAAGGCATCAATTAAAAAAATCAGGTCAAGCGTTGTTAGGCCTAACCGATCAAACAATGGCTCGCACGCAAGCTTTTATTATTATTTTTTTAAAGTTAATGAATCATGTTATTTACCTCAATTGTTTAAAAAAGAAGGACATATCACCTGAAATTTGACCATTATGATAATTGGGAAAATGGATTCCCAGGTGTGTTTTTACAAATTTATTTTCAACTTATTTTTTATCTTATTAAATCAATTTATGGCCTTTAAAAACATAAGAAATTTCAACACAATATCCAAAATCAACTCTAAACTCAAAATCTTTCCAAGCTCATATCTTGTTTTTTAGATGCATTTTTAAAGTAAAAAAACATCTAATCTCAACTTTCCTTATCATATAAAACCGTTTAATATAAAAATTTACCATTTTAATGATTATGCTCATCATCATTATTTTTTTATATATAATGAAATTCAGTAACTCTCTCTCTTCTTTCACCAAAAAGGGATTGGAAAATAAGAAAAATATAGTTTAGTATCAAAATTAATGTTTTCAAAATTAAAGGGACAAGTTACCAAATAGATAAAAACTATAGAGGACTAAAATGAGCTTTTATAATAAATTTTAAACTCACTATCTATTTTACCCATCTTTTTCATTCCCATTTCCTGTATATCAGTCCAACCCTCCCTCTAAAAAAAATATGCAATTAAATACTAAATTAAGCTAAAAAAATTTTAAAATTTTTTTGGCTAAATTGTGCAAACTAAAAATTAGAAAATCAAAATAAAAAAATAATTTAATTCACGGTGTTAAATGAATCAAAAACTGATTTTTTTTAGCATACTGAATAAATTTATTCGAATCTTGTAAATGAATAAGCTCACCCCATCTGAGGAGTCTGACCAAGGCCATTATCCAACAAATTTCTTCTTATTGCCTCTGCTTCACCAAGTTCCCTCACACGGGCAGCATGGCTAACTGTCACCGTCAAAGTGGTGCATACAATGAACACAAGAAAGGGAAAAGATAGCCAAGAAGGTGCCATGAGAGTGATTATTTAGTTGTATCAAAGCAAAGTATAAACATGGCATTCATGAGTGTGGAGAGAGATATATAGTGATGCTGGGTTGACAGCTATCAAAAATCTCCTGAAGGAAAGCCAGCTGTCATAGAGAAAGGAACTACGTAAACTCCAGATTAAGAATCAGGGTTGGCTTTCAATAGGTAATCCCAACGTTAACAATATGTTACGAGTCTTATCTATTGGACCAGAATCTTGTCTTATGGGAAGATTAGAAGAACTGTAAAAAACATACAATTTGCATATAGCCCCGATTCCTGGCTTTGTCTTCTGGAAGATTGTTTTCAACTCTATTAAAAATCGGCTAAGGCAAACATTTTAAATCCTCACCACAAGAATTCCTTATGCGTAATATCAAACCAACCACATAAGATATGCTACCATCTAAATCAAGGTAATTTAATTTTGGCTAAATTAACATAAAAAGAACAAGGATTGTTGTTCTTCTGGCAAGAAAGCTACAGAGTTAGATTCACCGCAGCTGGTTGGATCGGGTTTTAGTCGAAAAGAGTAGTGAATGACTTCAACACTCCACTTGTGTATAGAAAGATTAGCAGAGAAAACAGAGCAGTTGAGACTGACGGCCGTAACCATTTATGCCATTTGGTCATGGTTTCTTTCTACAAGATGGGGAACATTAGGGAAATGAATTGAAAGGAGGGTTATGTTTTGACATCGTTTGCACTAAAAAACCTAATGTTTATGGTTGTTACGGGGTCTTTGATGCTAGTGAACTAAGTCGATGGTTTTGAAGCATTTGCGTTTCCATAAAATCACTGCATGCCTAGTAGAATGGACAACATTAATGGAAAACTATAATAAAAATGGGCATTCAAAGAAAATACCCAATCTGGGCTGTTCAAACGATGCTACAGCTGGATAATTATCAAAGTTGTTGGAACGGCGGAGGAAACTGCAAAACCTATGACCGAGTTAAATCTGTTCTACACTAATCATGATTAAAAGAGACATGGAGAAGGATCTCAATTCACTGCATTGTCAGTACTGAATTCCTCCTCTTGATCAGTAGCTTATTATTATCCATCATCTCTACTAATTGATCTACAGCAAGACCATTCTGATCACCAGTAAGAATTTTATACATTCAGGGTTATCAACCATAAGCCTTGAAGGGAATCTAAGTGGTGACATTGGAGAACTGACCGAATTGAGATCCTTGTAGCTTTCCCATTTCTACCTCACAGGAACAAGTTTTTTATAAGCGATTTAAAATGTAGTTCTGCCTCAGCAAGTTCCTAAGAATCATCAAAATATACTTATTTTCACAAATGGTCCGATGCGCGCAAAAATCCATCTTAAAATCTTTATATTTAAGCTTTTGAGGTTATTTTGTTTCAGGGACCCGTCATTTAACCCAAACCTTACAGGATCTCTCACTCCACGGTTATGAGAACTGCAAAACTTGCACATCCTGTGAGATGAAATATCCAATTTTATACATGGGCAGCCGGCTTATATCTTCCTTGAAAATATCAAAGCAATTGCATTTTATGCGTCTTTCCTGCAACTTTTCAGAATACTTGCTGGTTGTGGTTTCAGTGATAGTATTCCAGATGAGCTAGGCAATCTTGCTGAGCTATCCATCCAGTAAGAGTTGTTAAACTTGCAACGATTATGAATACATGAATCAACAGAGATGCTATATCTTCGCTTCATTCAAAACTAACCCTCTCTACGAGGATCTCAAAACAAAACAACTTACTTGGTGGAATCCCTCCTTCGCTAGGTAAACTCTCCAAGCACTACTGGGCTGGACCTTGCAGACAACCAGTTGACAGGAACCATCCCAATCTCCAAAATTGAACAACTAGTCAGTATCAGAATTACATAGTAGATTGGTTAATAATATATTCGTGATTGGTAGATATGTTCGAGTCTTGGAATTGCAAGGACGAAAGCAAATGAAGACTGGTTCACCAGGGAATTCACATTCTTATTTGTTTCAAACTTAGAATTCCTCTTGCAATAGATATAGAACCAGATAAGCGATGGTGATAGGCTTCCAGCTAAAAATTTTTAATGTCAAAAAAAAAAATTTCAGATAATGAAAACTTGAAACAACCTGGGATGATTTGATTAATGCGCTACTCGATTTGATTTAAGGAAGCAAAACATGATTTTTAGAAACTAAGCCGAAGATGATGTTGAAGAATTCAAAGCGAAATTAATTACAAAACAAATCAAGAGATGTATTGATTTGGCTGTTTATGATTTACTGTGTATAGTTTCCTATCTCATTGTTGATTAGTTATCTTTTTCTAAATTTTTATTTTGCTCATTGAACTATTTTTTTCTCAATCGTATTTTTTTTTTAGAACAAACTGATATCCAATTGCTTCTTATTTTTTAAGAAAATGTGAAATTAAATGATAGATAACCAAAATGAAAGAAAAATAGAAAAGGGTTGACAACTTCAAATTTTATTTGAGAAGTTTAGTTTGGTCCCTCTCCTTTTTAGTTAATAAATAATTGGTCCCTTTAATTATCAACAATTTAATTTTCTCACAAAACTTTATTATTATTATTATTTTTAGTTCTTAGTCCGTGAGAGAAGAGTCATTGGATCCTCGTATAAATAAAGAAAATTATGATTGATACTAATTCTTATCACCAAAATATTTGAACTTGGTATCAACAAATTTTATTCAATGTGAAAATTTTAATATGGTTGTTTAGAAGCTTAATATTGCATGAAAAACATATCGATGTTGAGGAAAAAAAAATTTACCTGGTTTGATTTTTTATTTTGAGCCGTTTATTTAGTTTTTTCGGTTGATAAATTGGTTTATTGATGTTCTATTGGTGTTTATAAAGTGTTTTTAATTTTAAAATAAATTGAAAAAATAGGATTTTAAAACAAAAATATAATTTGTCTTGATTTTTCAGCTACCACAGTAGTTGACAAAACTTATATAAATAGATGACACATCATCTATATCAATAGATAATGTGTCACCTAATTATTATTTTTTTAAAAAAATATGGTTGATAGATGACTCGTCCCTTAGAAAGATATAAAAAAAATTAAACAAGATCTAGACGCACTAGGCTACCAAGCTCGCATATCTGGACTCTCCTTTTGACATTTATTTATTTTATTTTATTTTTTTAGTTTATTTTTATATTTAAGTCAAAGATAAATTTTAAAAAATAATTTATTAAACTTGGTTAATTTCATGACTCGGATAATAATTTTAAATGGTTGATTCATAACATCTAAATCAATCTAATATATTATTATTTTAATATTATTTTAAAATAAAACTCAAGTATTTAGTTCATTTTGAATTTGTTTTTATAATTTTTTTATGAAATTAACTTGTTCAAAATTTGTTTTACATGATCTTATAATTCAGAATGCAAGTATAATAAATTAACTTAAATTGATATAGCCACTTTAATATACTATAGTATGAATTTTGTGATATATTTTAAATTGGATTTATAGTATGTTTTGTTTTAGTGGTTTTTTTATGATTAATTAGTTTTGATTTCTACATGACACCGTTTAAAATTTCTCACAAAATCTTTATATTTTTTTATGTTTTTTTTCAAAAAAAAAACACGGTGAAACACATATCAATGAACTAATGATTAACTATTTTTCGGACACACAACATTGAAAGAAATCCCTTAACTTGGTGGCTGGGATATTCCTTTTGTCTTTCTGGAAGGTCAAACCTAGAAAAGCAAGTCTAATTTTGACTGTGTTGTTTGTTCTATACTTTTATGGCAAGCACTTAAAAAACTTATTCCTTTTATAAATCATTTGAATAAATATTAAATTTTGAAAAGGTGAGTGTCTCATCCTTAATTAGCAGCAAGTAACATGTCATCTCTTTAATTAGCTTACTAATCGATTTAATCATTTGATGAGTTATTTGATCCTTTCATCCATCCAAACAGCCCAAGTTGAAGTTCCAATTAATACCCATGACTGCAATTATATGTAATTCCAGTTAATATTATTATAAAAATATAGTTATGATTATTTTTTTAAAATATTTTTTATATTAAAATACATTAAAATAATATCTTTTATTTTAAAAAAATAATTTTAAGATCAACATATAAAAAAATTTAAAATGTATCAAAAAAAATTAATTTAAAAAATAATAATTTTTTAAAATGTAGTTTACATAATCTGAATACCGAAAGGCATCATCTTTCGTGTACCTATATTTGATTATTGAAACTGCCGTGCAAGCAACGACTACAATCATGTTGTCGAGTGCTTTATATTAACAAATTGAAAGGCACCTTTTTTAAGAGAATAAAAAAGGTATTCGTCATACTAGGTTCATACACATCAAAACACTCGTTAAAATAATTATATCTCTTTTCCATTGAATTTTAAGTGAATCATGTGCACCTAGATTCATAGATTCTCATTTTTTATTGGCCGCTTCCCATTTTTTATTTTTATTTTGGACCTTTCTAACTATCAGCTGAAAATCTTTGATCCTCGAGGAGTTTAATTTATAACATTCACATCTCATCATGTGTGATTGTTCCTTCTTCTTCTTGTTCTTCTTCTCCGGTCGAAACATGGATAAAAATGACGAGCACATGATATGCTTAGATAATTAATTAACAAGAAAATAGGTTCACGTATTCCAGGGATGGTGTTTAATTTATCTTTATATGTTTCATTGTATCCAGTCTATCATTGAAAAGTTACTCCCTTTCGGTCTATTTTTTTTAATCACATTTTCATGGTCAAAATTGATTAAAGCACGTCATTTGACTTGTTCGCGACTACTTCAGAATTTATAGGTCCAAAGTACTCTTTTTTTAAATTATGTCTGTGTTTTTTCAAAACTCACCGCTTGTGAAATGTTAATTTATACACGCAACCTATCAAAACCGAGTATTAAATGCTCTGATTAAAATCTCAGATCTTATTCTCCTGCGCCTTATCTCTTAATAAGAGATATTTTACA